GGGTAAGTTTCGTTTTTTTTTTTTTTTTTTTTTAGGCCTGCGGTGGAGTGTGCGGTGGGAAACACGTTTGCGAGTGGGTTCCTGCGGCCCTTCTTGGAGCCGGTCTGACTTGTTGCAGGCGCATTTCACTTTGTCCGGTATGAGACTAGCCAATCGTCGAAACAGAAGGAGGCGTAATATGGCCACTGTTGATACAACGTCTTTTCTGTGATTTTTGGCGGTGTTGGTGGAATTCACCCAACCAAAATTTCTTTTCTGAGCTGCCTGTGAGAATGTAGTTTCCTTCCAGCAGTTGCCTCATTGAAGCGAATGGATTCAATTGTATCTTCCTATCTTTCTTTCTATCGCCGTTTGGGACTTGACTTCCCGCTCATGAATCTAATTGAGCTGTTGAAGTACGACGCGGAATATTGATTGACAGCACATTTTTGTTTTGCTTTTGCAAGGGGTTTTGTTTATATATACCAGAAGCAAGTTTTCGTTTATGCTTCTTAAAGTCTTGAACGCAACCTGCACCCATGAATTGATCACTCTGTTGTTGTTGTTGTTGTTGTTGTTGTTGCTGGTGGTTTTGATTTGACTGGATCAGGTGTACATATCTCTGAGGGTGTCACGTGCGGGTAGTTAAGACTCGTGGATGACGCTTATGGGTCGCCACCGCCTCTTCTATTGTATTTTGTTATACTGTGCGTGCAGTTTTGCTAGGTATCTGCTCTACAGTGAAGTCTGTACTTTTTATTTTGTGGCCGGGCACTCTTTGATAGGTTGTCTGTTTCTTGCAGTGGCTTATTATTGTGGCTGCCTTGAGCTCCTTTCTCATTTGCCGACACACTGGGCCACGACTCCCCATGTCCGCCTCCCTGTCGGGCGAGTGGGTTCTGTGCCGCCCTCTGGGCACTGCCGTCTCGTTGGAGAGCATTGACCCCCGTGTTTTTTTTTTCACCACTATTTTTTTTCCCGCCTGAGTGTTACTTTTCTGTCGTCGGGGTGCCCCCCTCCGCTGCGGAGGCGCGCGCGTGGGACGCAGCGGTTGGGGAAGGAAGAGGAATGAAGGGGCTTGAGGAGTGGCTCGCGTCCTCGTCGTCGGCGTCGGAGGCCTCAAGCAACGCAGGCGCCGCTGCGGTTCCGCGAGCGCAGGGCGGTCACGGCGGGGATGTGGCAGGCGTCACAGACGCCCGCGCACGCCAGGCGGAGATGCGAGAGCGCATGCGGAACCTGCTGGGGGAGAGCGTCGTGAAGGCCGTCGTGGCGGAAACGAGTGCCGCGGGGGAGCTCTCGGCGCCGCAGTCGATCCAGACCGCCGAGAAAAATCCCGTAGAGGAGGGGGGGAGCCGCGCGGAAAGCGGTTGGGGTGGCGACAGGCAGCAGAACAGCAGCGGGAAAAACAGCGGAGGTGGGACCAACGGCCGTACTCCCCCGTTTCCGCCGGAGTATCGCCGCGTCGAGGTGATGGTCGTTGACCGTGGAACCCAAACGACATCCACCGTCGGTTGTCAAACCGACCCCGTGGAGGACTACGCACCCCGCATTGGGTACCCACTGGTTTCTCACTGCACTTGCAGCTGCCGAAGTCGGTGCCCTTGTGAGAGGATGTTGCGTGAGGAGAGCGTGGGGGAGGAGACGCCTCTTCGCTTCAAGGAACAATTAGATCTGATAAGGGACTCCATAGACATGCTGATTGCACGATATAATCTGCCACCACCTCCGTTGCCCCGTGCACAGTGAGGCGCACTCATCTCTCATCACTTTTACGTTTCTTTGGTTTGCCCTCTCGCACCGGCTTCCTCACTCCCATTTAGGTGAGAATGTGCGTAATGTGTGTAATTGCTCCGTCGCCTTTGCCTTGTGTTGACTTGCAGCGTTTCCTGCATCTGCCGCTGCCATTGTTGCTTCCCAGTGCGTTGACAATCAACAGCAGTGCCTGTGCCAAAGTCTCGCATTTTCTTTTTTATTTAATTGTATGCATATATGCTTACCTTTGATGTGTTTGCCCCCTTAGCAAGTACGCGTAGCGGATGGAAGACTTTTACAACAACCCGTTCCGCTGTGACCCGGAAATGGATGAGGTGTGCTACGCTAGTGTGCAATTTCTCTCCTCGGAGACGTCGCCGGTGGAGACGGAGCGTTTCAGGGACAACGATTTTCTTAGTGTGTCCTCGGCTCTCCGTTTCCAGACGCAGCTGAGTGAGGCGCTGCGAGCCAATAGCACGCTTCGAAACACCTACGAGGCCCACATTGCGACGCAGCGAAGGGAGATTGACCGCCTTGGCGAGGAAAACAACGAGCTTCAGAAGAAGTTGACGCGGATGGAGTCGCAGCTGCGGTCTCTTTCTTTGGAGAAGGACTGCTCGGCAATGGCGTACAAGCGGGAGAGTGAGAAGAACGTGTTGTTAGAGGAGAAAGTCACAGCTCTAGAGGAGGAACTGAACTCGCTGGAGCGACGCACGCGGGATCTGAGGGCCGCGTACTGCAGATCCCCTCAGCACTCGGATGGACATGGCACGCCTCTCTCCCAGCTCCGCTCCCACGGTCTGCAGCAATCACAGTACAGTCATCGGCAGGAGCAACGCACGCCGCCGTCGCGTAGGAGTGAGAGCGCTCTGTACTCACCGTGTGTCAGACGCTTGGTCTCGGAGCGGAGCACGCGACCTGGGGAGGCAGAAGACTGGTGGGCCGCTGAAAGTGCGGCGCCGTCTAGGCGACCGGAGACGGTTAATAACGTGAAAACAGGAGTGGCGAGGAGTGCCGTAAATACCCCCGCAAAGGCCACTTCCTACCCCACCCCAATGAGCGATGAAGAGCGGTATGCGGCTGTGAAGGAGTTAGAGAAGCGTTTGCTGCGAGAACTCCAGGCGAAGGAGGAGATAGAAGAAAAGTTGCAGAAGATAGAGGCCACAAGGATTCGCTCTGGTGCCGAAAGGGCGAAGAAGATTACATTGGAGAGAGATTTGATTGCCGCCCAACGAGCTGTAGGGGAAATCCGAACGAGGCTTAGGACGCTTGCCGCACTGGTGCGATAAATCGAGTTGCCTACTAACACGTTTTGTTATTGCCCTACCGCGCGCCGTGACGACCCCTGCAGAAGCACAAGTAAAAAAGAAAGCAGGACATTTTTTCTGCCTCCCTCACACAAATGAAATCACCAACTTTGCCTCCATCATGCCACGTTGCATGTCCGACATAAGTACAGCCTTGTGCATCTACGGAAATAAGGAGGGGGGGGAGAATGTATGTATATATATATATTTTTTCTGATTATGCGTGGTGGTGGTCTGTGTGTCGATAGTTGGGGGGACGATTGCGTAGAAGTTATTGTTGTTGTTTTACGTTTAGAGCTGTGCATCGCGCGGTAAGGCGCACCGGAGTTGGGGTTGCCGCTGAGACGATCACACGGCACCCGTGGTTGCTATTTCAGGGACATTTTTTCCCCTACCTTCTCCTTTCGCGCCGACCTGCTTCTGGTGCCTGCTGAAGCCGCGCCCCGCTGTTCCGTCAAGAGAGAGATTGAGAAGGGTTCATTCAGGAAATAGCAGCTGCCTCCGTTGTTCTTGACGGAATAATATTTTACTCTTCGCTCGAGGGAGGCAGTGAGGCTGCTCGTGGAGGGCTAATGCACCGTCTTCTTCGAAGCAGGGAGCATATGTATCGGAGGGGAAGTGGGAGGCATAGAGGTCCTGCGAGCATGCGTGGAATTTGCCTCTTCTGCGTCTACTGCTGCAGGAGAGAAGTAAAACATAAAACAAAAAAAAGTAGTTATATCTCGTCGTTGTTTGATTTTCTTTTTCTATGCGTAATTTTTTCCCCCTCTTACGCCGCGACGATGGCTACTGATGTTTTTTTTCTGGGTGTGTTTCTGACGCTTTGTTGTGTTTGTGTTTTCTTTACTTGCTGCCGATTTCATGCCTTCCTCCGAGGCGTGTGCGGGATGACGGCGGTTGAGGTGCTCTCCAGGCGCCCTGCACTGCGGGGTGAGGCATGCCCCGTCACCGCACCTCCCGCGGAACTGAGGGAAAGGGGCATCTACTCGCTGCATCTGGACAGGAGGAGAAAGCGACTGAAAGAAAAAGAACATACACTTGTGTGTGTGTGTGTGTGTGTATGCCTTTGTGGTTCTTCGGTGCGGGATCCCCCTTCAGTGAAGGATCTTCTGCAAGTGATTTGTGCCAGCTCCGCGGCGCGTATTCTCCTTGCCCTGCTCATGCTGCTGTGTCGTGCTCTGTCACCTCTGCGACCGGCTTGTTTTCTACGGTTGCGTCGAGAGGCAAGTGAAAGAGGCGCAAGGACGCAGAGGACAAAGTAATACACACATACATATATATAGTAATAGTGCTAGTACTAGTACTACAAGAACGTGGCCCTGGCGAAGAGCATGTAGATATGAACCTTTCCGTCACCTACAGCCTACGCGATGAACTAGTGGCTGCCCTTCTGTTGGCTTTTGACTTCATTCGAGGTCTTCTGCAAACGGGGATTTGCACTAGAAAAGTAAATGAATTCCTTAAAAATAGATCCGCACGTGTTGCACTCCGATGTCTGCCGATTATTTTTTCCATTTTCGTCCTTCTTGTCACGACGCTGCGAACGGGAGCCTTAACTGGCAGGGGACGACAACAGCCTCACGTCAGTCGTTCACCTGAGACGAGAACAAACTCCGCACCTAACACTCTTGACGCGAAGAAGCGCAGTAGCAGCAGCAGCAGCGCGAATTGCTGTATGAACTGCCCCGACATGTGGAGGCTCAGTGAGGCTTGGCGGAAAGAAGAAGCATACTTTGCTCCCACAACTCAAGCGGTGGAGGATGACTTTGATTCAGAGAGACACCTGCAGATGTGTATCGACGGCTTCTGCTCCTCACAAGCACCACAACCGCCGAGTCCTGGGGCTCATTGCTCATAGTGTGAGGAGAAAGCCAATATATATATATATATGGTGTGTGTGAGAGAGAGGGAGAGAGTTAAAATGTAAGATGCCTGTATTTACGCGTATTGGGTTAATTGCATCTTGGTACTACAAACAGGCTTGGCTATGTTTCTCCTCTGGGAAAAGTTATTTTCTTCTTCTTCTGCACCCTCGTAGGCAGTCAAGAGAGAATAGAAAAAGGGACTTGAATAGAATTGTATGAACACAGCCGTTCCGCCCCTCTGCGATGGGGTTTCATTTACCCTTTGCGATGATGACGTGTATGCCTTCGGGGGCGCAGTGCCGGAAATCATTTGGCGTTTGCATCTAGTGACGCGCACTTGGTACGAGACACCGTGCACGGGCGTTGTACCTGACCCGCGTAAGGGTCATGCAGCGGTGAGTTTTGCCGGCAACTTGCTTATATGCGGTGGGGAGCCGCTGCAGCCATCGTCGTTGCAGCCGCCGAGGCTGATGCCATACTACGAGTTGTCATTGGACACCCTTAATTGGACGCTTATCGATACATTTGGTGCCGTCCCGCTGAATCGCTCGCATCACTCCTGTAGCATTGTGGGCGAGAGCATGATTCTGCTCGGCGGCAAACCTGTCCTGCCTACTGACGACGGTGCGGTGACAAACGAACGCATGAGCGGGTTTGTCCGGGCGGGTTTCTATGACGTGCACATTCTAGATATCGTCTCTCGAGCCTGGCGGTCGGTGGTTGCGGTTGGCCCGGCGCCACAGCTTTGGGGCCACTCCGCCGCGGTTTATGCCCAAAAGTATATTCTTTTCTTTGGCGGCGTGGATGTGGCGACAAACGACACAACAGCCATCAGTGGCTACGGCAACCCGCATCACCGGCACGACCCACCAGTGGCGAAGGTCTCAGACAAACTCTACCTGTTAGACGTGGAGCAAATGGTGACGCGTGTTATCTCCCCCGCAGTGCATTATTCAACCTTGCCGCGCGCCTTTCATGCTGCCCACGTGAACGGCTCCAAGATGTATGTTCTCGGCGGGCTGAATATCGACAAAAATGGCAAGGTGGCTGTTTTAGATGACTTGTGGGTGTACGATGTCATTGAGGGCAAGTGGAATGTGCTGGAGGTTCCCATGCAGCTTCCCGCGGCGGTGCGGAGGTTGTCCTTTGTGTACGACTCACAGATTGTTGTTGTGCCGAGCACAACCTCCATGTGGTACCTGGACGTGCACGAGAAGTCTGTGGTGAAGGCGTGGAAGGAGGTCCCCACATCACACGTGACGGTTGCCGCGCTTCCGGCGACAAGCGAGGCCGAGGAATACAACGAGTTTTTCAACCCGAGACGCAGTTCGGTGTGCGACGACGCCCCGCATGCGGAGGAGATGGCGGCGGCGCAGTCCGTACTGCCGCCGGCGACGCCCAAGACACCTCCCATGATGCCCACGGCTCGAATGGACATGCTCATGGATGAGATTCATCAGCTGCGGGAGCTGATTCTCGCACACCACAGCCCCCAACCGCCTGCGCCACAACAACAAAAGTCCGAGGAGAATCCGCCACCCGCGACAGCCAAAGATTGTTTCTCTCCTTCGAGGGAGAAGAGCGGATCAGCAAAAACAAGGGAGAGGCGCATAAGGGAGAAAGAGAGGCTGAAGGAGCTGGCGCGGCAGAAAGAGCAGATACTGCAGTTAACGCAACGTCTTGAAAAGTTATTGGCGCTGCAAAGGGCGAGCAAGCAAGAGGAACCCCCGCTGCCCCTTGCGATGGAGCAGCAACCGCCTCGGCAGGCGCCAAGTGAGGCACTGAAGGACCCCCCCATTCGTGAGGTCGCGGAGTGCAGTGAGCGTGATGTCTCCATGCCATCGTCTCAGCCCTCGCAGGGCGATGCCTCGCGGCCGCCACAAGGCAACGGTGTGGATACGAATGCAACGGCATCTCGCAGCAGCCATGACGCCACCTCGGGACGATGGACGGAGCTTATCGGCATTCTAAAAAACTCACCGTCGTCGTCTCCATCGAAGGCGTTCCAGGCGAGTGTTGTTATACTTTAAAAGGGAACACACACGCACCAGAAGCCAAAATAAAACAACACGCCACCACTCTTCTAAGTAATGTCCTGTTTTCGTTGTTCCTTTGGTCTTTGCGTTTTTTGTTGTTGTTTTTTTTATTCGGCCATAGTTTTACATGTGTATAAAAAGTTTTTCTCATTGGGCCCTTGTTTTATTTTTTGTTATTTAGTTATTTATTTGACTGCGTGCGAGTTGTCCTCCGACAAGCATTTTTTTTCTTTCGTTTTTGGTGGGTGTAGTGTGTGCAGTGCCGCTCGCGTTCTTGCCAAAGGTGCAGATGCAGGGAGGGGGCACTGCAGGATGAGTGGGCCGCACGCCGTCGCGGCCGGAGGAGGTGTGGCCGGCAAGCGGAGTAGCGGGCGGGAAAGCGGCGTCTAGGTGCGTCTGCGTGCCGACGGCGACCGAGGCTCCAAAATGAATAAATAAATAAACACAAAGAAACAAGAGCTTGTGGGCATGGCTTCCTAATCATCTCGCCTTTTTCTTCTTCCCTTTTTTATTTTAATTTTTTTTTTGCTTCGGCTTCCCCGC